ATAAATAAATAGTCATTAAAATATAAACAAACATTATTATAAATTAACATTAATACATAATAAAACAAAACAAAATAAAACACATATCACAATGTCTCGTCATTATAAAATTCTATAATATTATAATAAGGCCTACCTAACAGAAATCTCTTGAGCACCTTTCTAAAACAATTCTGTGACTCAACATCTGTCAACGTATGTGATAGCCTATTGTACATTTTGATACCATTGTATATAAAAGAGTCTCTTATTAGTTCAGTTTTAGGAATAGGCAACTTCAAGTTACCCGTTTGGCGAGTTACACGGGATGTATTCGATTTATATTTCGACTTGTTCTTATGGATCATGCAACAAGTTTCTAAGATAAATAAAGATGTTAATGTTAATATTTCTTGTTTTAAGAACAGCGGTCTGCATGAAACTAATCTGTGTGCTCCACATAAGAACCTTATTACCCGTTTCTGCATTATAAAGACTCTGTCAAATAACTCGGCAGAACAGACTCCCCAAAACTGAACAGCATAACGCAAATGGGAGTCAACTAACGCATAATATGCAGTTTTTGCTGCACAAACTCCCAATTCATGAGAGGTGGTTCTAATGGCATAACAACCCGATGCGAGTTTTTTTAAAAGTGAATCCACATGAGATTTGAATTTCAAATCCATGTCGATATTTGAACAAAAAATTTTGTACAGTTTGTGGCTTCTACAGTATCCATATCTATTAAAATATCAGGAACATTACATTTAAAGGTTAGTATTTTTGTTTTTTTTAAATTTAATGACAGAAAATTTGCAGTGCACCATGTTTTAAAGGATTTTAGGTCATTACTAATATTTGCATAAAGAATATTGACGTCTTTATTGTGCCACAAGATCGTAGTATCGTCAGCAAATAGAGTGAAGCTTCCTGAGATATTTAACTTACCTAAATCATTGATATAAATTAAAAACAGGGTGGGCCCAAGAACAGAACCTTGAGGGACACCCCATTTTATGTCACTTGTGTTCGAGTCTGAAACAGTTCGGACTAACTGTTTGCGACCTAAAAGGTAGGATTTCATCCAACTCAAGGCCACATCTCTTATGCCATAAATTTCAAGCTTTTGCAGCAGTACTCCATGGTTGACACAGTCAAAAGCTTTAGTCAGATCACAAAATACTGCAGCCACGGCCTTGTTGAAATTTAAACTTGTATAAGCTAATTCCAAACAAGAAGAAACAGCGTCCGATACGTTTTTGTTGTGTTGAAAACCGAATTGATTTATGTCCAATATCTAGATATCTAACTAGTCGAGTTTTTACAAGTTTCTCAATAATTTTTCCGAGTGTCGGAATTAGAGATATGGGCCTAAAATTAGATGGCTCAGTCAAGTCTCCTCCCTTATGTAATGGAACCACAACACTTGTTTTAAGAAAATGAGGAAAAGTACCTTCAATAAAACTTTTATTTATTAAAATGGATAAAACGTCTATTGCAGAGGTAGGTAAGTTTTGAAATATTTTTACTGACATTCCATCATGTCCTGATGCAGTTTTGTTGTGTATGTCATTACAAACTTTTAATATTTCTAAGGAATTTGTTTCTCTTAAGAAAAATGAATATTTAATTGGTGACGATTTTACAAATTCTAATGGGTCAGTTGTTCTATTTAGATTTTTTGTTAGATTTTCAGCGATATTGCAATAAAATGTATTGAAATCGTTGGGATTTATATTTGCATTGCATGATTTATGGGTACTTTTGCCTCTCAATTCATTAATAATAGACCAAGTTTCCATTACGTGTGTCTTTTTATCCCAGGGTAGCCAGTTCCCCTGTAAATAGTTGGTAACAAGTTTGTTTGACCTCGACAGTGGCGCGCTGAGCGCGTTATGATGAACTTTAATTCGGTACAGTCGGTAAAGTAGAAAACTACTAGGTAAAGCGATTTAAAAAATGGCGGGCTTTAAAATTTATGAAATTTGAAGTAATTTCAAGTAACATTTTCCTATTTTACAGCTTTTACTTACAATAATTGAAACAATCAATAAGTAAAATGAATTTTTATTGTAAGTAAATGCTGAAAAACGGAAAATGTCACTTGTTTTAAATGAAAAATAAAAACATTTGTAATAAGTTTATTTTATTTAGAATAGGTAACTATATCATTACATTATATTAAACATCATATTCACAATATGTTGAAAAATGTTCAAGGGTTGAAGTTAATTTAAAAATATACGTTTACACTAATCACGATTATTATTGTTATTAATATTATTATTTTATATCTATAAAATTACCTAATATCACAAAATTACACATTATCACAAAAAGTACACATTAAAAATAAATTGAGTTTACTACCTGAACATTTTTTTTATTATTCTTAAGCTCTATTGGGTGTTCCAGTGCCAGAGTTGCTAAAAAATAATTAAGTTGAGATCAAAGTTTAAGAAAAATTTAAAAATAGTCACTTGTCAAATAAGTATTTAATTTTGTCATAAACTACATAATTTTAAGGAATAGGTAACTTTGGCATGTATAGAAATGATTTTAAAACAATAACAAAGACCAGTTGTTTTGAAATTTTGTTGGTTAGGTAACTCTGGCACTAAACCACTTTACTATCCCTTCACCCATCTATTTCGGTTCATTGTAGTTGCAATATCCATTCCAAAAATCTCCATACTCAGGAATAACTAAAACAAAAAAAAATAAAGGCGCAGTGTGTATCTTAAAATTAAACTAAAATTTTTAAATAAATTTGTTTCTGATAATTTTAAAGCAGTCTTAATTGTATTTTTAGATTTTAATAAACTATTTTTTAATCTTGAAATTTTGTTTTGCTGCTCTCGATTAATATAATAAAATTTTCTCTTTCTAGGAGTTAAATTACCAATTGTAGTTGCATTAATTTGATTTAAAATACCAGTTCTTACACGTGGTTTCTTTATTAAAGGTTCCTCAACACATTCAATTCTATCATTAAAAAAATCTAGCTTTCTTTTAGCTGAAGTTATATTCGAAACAGAAGGTTTAATCAAAACATTACTAATTACATTTATTTTTGCAAGAGAATTTGATGAAGGTAGCTTTGAAAAATTTTCATCTAATGTAATATTATTATTAGTAGTAATATTCTCTTCTAAAGGCGCTAAAGGCAAGGCAAATTTAATGAGCTTAGTAGGCAAAGTGCTGGTGAAGGCATTCTCGTCAAAATGATCCTCGCACTATAGTTTTTTTTAGATGTGTAGGGAATATTTAAAATATCAAACCATTTCTCTCTAAGGGTAATAATGGACGGAAAAGTAAAAAAATTTCTTATTAAGTGAATGTAAATAATATTTGCTTCTGCAATTTGGAGCAGCACATGATAATGTGAATTTATTATAAGTTAATGACATCGTTAAGGACCTCAGTATATTTTTACACCTATAAATTACTTAAATTTAACTAAAACTAAATTAAAAATAAGATTAATTAAATTTTACTCACCTACATTTTCCACGACTGTCATGTTTTAGTGTAACATAACCTAATTTATTAGCAAAGCCAGATTTACACCACCTCATAATATTCAAATGTAGCTTTAACTTTATAAATTTATAACAATTATCCCTGTATTTGATCATTATATTGTATTAAAGTGATATTTAAAAGATTGCATTAGTAAAATTATTGATTTCTTTAAAATTTATTCATTTTTTAATTATCATATGGGTGTAAAAACGGCTTTTATTTAGTGCTCGCAGCGCGTGAAGCGCGATATGATAAACTACAAACAAGGAAACAATTCCCGCCTATTATTCAAACCTTCTCTTTTTAGTTTTTCTATGTTTTATCCAACTGTTGCAGCAACGTTGGCATCGGTGCGGTATGTCAACTGTTATTTATTTCAACGGTCAACCAGAATCCAACACAAAACGTTCAAGGCCGCATCAGTGAAACAACGGTTGCAACAAACCGGTGGAAAAAAAGACACACGTATTGCCTTATTTTTTGAGCTCTCGATTCTTGTATGATAGTACATATCTTTAGCTTTTCTAATAATTGTTCGATATAAAGATCTGTAGCGATAAAAATAGTTAAAAAATAAATTATTTTGCGTAAATTTTTTTATATAGATGAGAGATCTCATATTTTTTGATGAACATCTTAAATATTTCGGCGGTAGAAAGGAACACTCCCTCTGTCGCTTATTGAAGTGGAAGGGAGCGCACGACTCACTGAGTAGTCCCTTCGAGGTATGTTTGGGAAACCAGTGACGTAGCATTAGTAACGGTACTTTATTATCGTTACAAGGGTATTGTCAGCAACATGGCGCTTTGAACATTTATTGCATAAAAGTACTTTGAATAAATATTTCCTTATTTTATTTTTTCTGACACATATATAAAGTAACAAAAAAAAGTAATTATATTTATAATTGAAAAAGCGTTTAGATAAAAAAATTAATCAACCTACCCTTCCATGTAAAAAATTTAGCAATGTCTGCAATCCCCCAGATAATTAAAAAACAAGTGAACCTCTTTGTAATATGCCCATTAAAAATAAAAATTGATTTGTTTCAGAAATTTAAAAAAAAACCTTTATTTATTAACAAAAGAACCTTGTATTTCGTGCACAATTGTTTTATTTAACACCGTCTTCATCTTCAGTGCTTATCTACAATAATTGTGGGTGTAAATATATTAATTTATTTAAATATTATGTGACTATCAAGTTTTTGTTCATATTTTATATTTTTTTATGTTAACATATTATTGTAAATAAGCATCGAAGATGGCGTTATGTCGAAACTGTTTTAAAATAAAACAATTTTTCACGAAATACAAGGTTTTTTGCTAATCTAAGCTACGTGCACATAACCATTGACTTCTTTTGGTTCCTTTAATCTTTATTTATTGAGTTACAGTATTCGTTCCAGTTAGACTCACCACTCTGTATATTTAATCTTCATTAAAATAAACGATACCGTAAATAGCAAAAGTGACATTCAAGGAGTAAACAATTTTTGTGATAACAAATTTACAAGAAAAGGGGAAAAACCCCGACTTAATTAGTTTGGAAACTTCGTTTATAAAATTGCTTCCGCGAATGTAAATTTATGTGCACATTTTTCAAATGTGCGGTGTATTGTTTTATTTTAAGAATGTTTGTTGGATTGTGTTACTAGTCTACTGAGTACTTAGTTTTCAAAGCATCAATAACAACCAAGGCTTACATTTAATAAATGAATGGTAAGTTTGGTTATACTTATTTTACGTATGAAGATATATAAATAATATTTAATCATTTTATTTGTTTGTTTATTTCAATAATTAAGCCATTTTTCGATTTTATAATATCAGGTAAAGTATAGTAGTTTTTTTGCATACAAACTATAGATACGTCAAAATTTTACAATAATATGTAAAGAACAATAGCGAGTTATAAATTCCAAAATGGAACTTTTATTTTTTTAAATTTTTATTAAGTATAAAATACACTTAAATGGATATCTGTACTAAAGCTACTTCAATTAACGGCTTCAAATAACAAATAACTTCAAATAACGCACAAGTTCAAATAACAACAATAATAAGGTTCTACTCCTATTTATAAAGTAAAACTGATTATTAATCAAAGATAATATATAAAAGAGTCTATTATATTCTCAATATATAACTAGCGCATAAATATTTTATATATGAAGAGGTTAGAGTACAAAGGCTATGAGTACCTACCAATTAAACTATTTCGAATAAATTGAGTTTAAATTTAACTAGCTACAATACAATCTGCTAGTAAGTTAAGTTTGTATTTTTTTTTGGGGAGGTTTGTTCAATACAACACAACGGGTACTTATACCCTTTGTATTCTAAAGATAAACTACAATGCTATTCACAAGCCTTTTTTTAGTACACAAATTGCGTTTAGAATTAAAAATTCGTTTAGATTCTCTATATTCCAACACATATATATTTATATCTTTTTTCGGAATTGGTTGTATTTAACTTTAGCAAAAAAGGTACTTATACCCTTTGTATTCTAACTCCTTCAAATTAATTATAATTTTACATTTTAAACGCTCCTAGATGCAGCTTGACAGCCAATTATTGAATTTTTCCAAGAAATAAAATGTATTTTACAATTTTTGAGATTTTTTTAAAATATTTTATTATGTATTATATGATTTAAAATTTACAGTAAAATAAGCAATTGGCAAAGTAAGATTTTTTTTTTATAGTTACTGTAATTAAAATTGTCAAAATGAATTTTATCGGCACCATAATAAAAAGTTACCATATTCCTAGATAAAATGTTAACTATAAATGTTAAATTTTTATTTATTTTTTAATATTTGAGTAATTTCTCAACATATTTTAGCCAAATTTAGGTATTTGTAAATATTATTCAGATGGTTTCCGATCAGGGGGTGAAACTGGCAAAAAAATATTTCCCCCTAAAATCAAAAATTGACGGGTCCGAGCGTTTTTTCGTAAATAATCCTGGGGTACCCAAAAATTGGCTGTTTCGATTTCAAATGGCCACCCTGAATATAAAAAAATATTACGTATTTATTACTTAAAAGCACTAACTTACTATCTACTATCGGTTTACCAAAACCTCACCTTTTATTATTTGATTTAGTTTGTAGGATACAGAAAAATGTTTTATTCCACGATGAGTCTTCCCAAAGTGGTTATCCTTAGTATTTTTTGCATTGCAAATGTACAATGTCACTACAATAGAGAACCATTAGTATCAACAAATTTTGGCGACCTAAAGGGTTCTATTCTCACCAGCAGACTTGGGAAATCAATATACTCCTTTAGAGGAATTCGATATGCCGAGCCTCCTGTCAAAGAATTAAGATTTAAAGTAAGTAAAGATCAATAATGGATTGTAGGTATATTATTTCTATTTTAATTCACACTATTAAATATTTAAAACACTAATAATTAATAATCTGACCGAATGACTTAAACGTTTGTCAAAATTTGATAGACACATCAAGCTTATAATGAACGTTCTGGCAACCGGCTGTATAAGCAAAGGTATAATTCATTAGTTAATGATATTTTACCTGGCCTAGAAAATAGTTAAGAAGTCAGGAGAAATAATAATTGTAAAAGTATATCAGATTCATCATCTAGTTATTTGATACCGCTCTTCTAACTGCAAAGACACAGATAGGGCAGGACACCATCTCCAACTACACAACTAGAGGATGTCCACAAGGAGGAGTTCTATCCCCACTAATGTGGAGCCTAATCGTAGACGAACTTCTATGCAGATTGACTGACCTCGGCATATCCTGTCAAGGTTATGCCGAGCATATTTACACATCCTCCTATATGACAGCACCGGAGTGCTGAAACCTGTTCGCCTTTGTAGCCTACAAGTACGCTACAAAAGCTCATTGATTTGGACACCCATACAAATTTTATGTTATGTGAGACTTTACTTTTCAATTTTAGCTGTGTCCAGGCAGGTTGGCGTCTATGCCGGTAGGCGTAGCCAGGTATGGGTTAAAATTTTTTGACAAGTCGTTGCTTCGTTTTCTTCTTGTATATTTTCTTTTTTTTTTAATCCCAAAACACTTGCGTCATTTGAATTGACTATTAACGGCATTCTAGTACACGATCGTTTAACGGCATTTTAGTACACGACCGTTTAACGGCAGTTTAAGTACAGCCATTGTTTCATAGAATGCAGATAAGCTTGCTTACTGATTCCAGCAATAAGAGAAGCCTCATGCATTGGTGCCTAAATCAATGAGCTTTTGTAGCGTACTTGTAGGTTACAAAGGCGAACAGATTTTAACACTCCGGTGCCGTCATATAGGAGGATGTGTAAATATGCGCCGACGACATAGTCATATTTGCTAGTGGCAAGTTTAGTAATATCCTGTGTGATATAGTCCAACGTGGACTAGAACATACCAAAAGATGGTGCCGTGAAGTGGGACAGTATAAACCCTATAAAAACAACACTAGTAGCCTTTTCAAGGAAAAGAAAACTTAATCTCAAAACCGTTAAATAAGACGGGATAGATATAGAATGGAAAAATGAAGTCAAATATCTAGGCCTAACCCTGGACAACAAACTTCTCTGGAACACACATGAGAAGGAAGTACTAAATGAGGCCACAAAAGCCCTAATGGTATGCAAAAACATTGCAGGTAAACGATGGGGATGTAACCCAAACATACTGCGATAGATGTATACTGCAATAGTGAGACCAATCATCACTTACGGGGCTATAGCCTGGAGTAACAGAACTAGTCTAGCTACTATGAGAGCTAATATCTTAAAAGTACAAAGACCCTGTGTTTACATTACTGGTATAATGAGAACCTGTCCTACGACCGCAATGGAGGTGATCTTAAATCTCACCCCTCTACATTTGATGATAGAGAATGTGGCAAAAAGGACACAATATAGAATGATCAGAAACGGAGTAATCAGACGAAAGTCATCTTGCTTCAGGACTAAAGATACCTGGGACATGCCCCAGGATGAAATGCAAAAGAAGTGTTTGTAAAAAACTTCAAAACCACAGAGCTGGGCTGCAAGAAAGAATGGAGCCACGAATCCATCGCGCTTTCAACCGAAAGACGTGCTATTCAGTAGTATATGGACAGTTCCAAAACCATAGTAGGAACTGGAATAGGAGTGTATGGGCCGAGAACCAAGCACTCAAGCAGCGCTGAGCTCTTACGTAATCAGCTCAAAAATGGTCTGAAGATGCCTAGAACAATTGAATGAGCTAGGCGAGAAAAATAGAGTTACTCTCACTTGGGTTCCAGGACATAACGGGGTACAGGGTAACGAGGTTGCAGATAGTCTTGCAAGGAAAGGGGCTCAAACACCCTTTGTAGGACCTGAGCCGTTCTGCGGTATCAGCAGTAACATAATATTAGGAGAGATTAAAAAAGAATTGGGCAGTAGAAGAACCGATAATTGGAACAATCTTTTGAGGCTGAGACAGTCCCAGATACAGAATATAACCAGAAAAGAAAAGAACAGGCTACGTATCGTAACAGGGATCCTTACCGGGCATTGCCGACTAAAAGGACACCTAAGTAAACTGAGAGTAGTAGAGGATAGTGAGTGCAGATTCTGTGAGGAGGAGGAGGAAACCTCCATTCACATCCTAACTAAATATGTAGCACTCCAGAATCCAAGGGCACTATATCTAGGAGGATATCAAATAAAAGAGGGAGATTTACCTAACTTGAAGCAACTTCAAATCCTACACTTCCTTGAGAAAATAGGATTGGAAGGGTCACTATAGGCATTGAGACATTTCCTTAGTGCAGTGGCGACAGAAGGGGGCACAATAGATCTTTTAGGTCGCAGTGTATTAACACCCCATTCTCAACATAACGTAACATAACATACCGCTCTTCTAACGTTTTACAAATTTAAAATTCTTTTGAAGAAAAAATTATTCATAATTTTTTTGTTTATATTAGGTATTATCATGGTGATTTAAACATCAATGAACAATACAGCGTGATCGTTAAGTATGTGGCAAAACTTTGAGGTAACCTTCTTTATTCAATTTTAGGACAAAAACTGTATATGAACGTGGGTCCTAAACGGCTTTATTTTCAAAATAGGTACAAGGTGTTTAAATATACAAAAAAGTTTTAAAACTGGAAAAAGGAAGAGCGAGTCGGAGTTTATGTTTATTTAAGCGGGTTATCTCTTAAAAATGGCCATTTTTAATGCCTCTTCTATCTTATGTACTATTATAGACAACAACAAAGATAAACTATGATTTAAAGTTTTTAAAATACACTTCAGATACAATTATGACGAATTACACACACTTTGTCATCTTGAGACCCTTCTGAGCAGAAGAAACCAAAGGGATCTTAAAATATTGTTTAACATTATTAACTCATCTGCCGATTGTCCATACTTGTTATCCCAAATTGGATTTTCTGTACCCTCTAGAGTAACTAGGAATATTAATACATTCTCTCAACCTTTTCATAGAACAAATTATGGTTCTCACTCTTTTATTCCTAGAGTAACAAGATCTGCTAACAGACTAAATGTAGAATGGATTACTTCTCCATCAGATTTTTCTAACCATTTATGTTGTTTTTAATATTTATGTATTTAAATTAATTTATTATTATTATTTAGGATTTTATTACTATTTAATGTATGTAATATGTATTATCTGTAATTGTATTGTTTTAATGGGCTCTGACCCGTAAATAAATAAATAAATAAGTGTTAAATATTGTTGTATTTTGTATAGTTAGAAATTGCTAAAATAAGTTTTATTTTAGAATGGAATTTATTTGCCTCTAATTAGGTTGTCACTATTAGTGACATACGATACAAAAAGTTTGTAAAATCTCTATTTAATGGTAATTTTCTTTATTTTGACAATACTTAACAACTCATTAGGTTTAAACAAATTTTCATACATGTTCTCGTAAATATTATCGCCTATTTATTTTTTTAATTATTATACTTTTTTAGCTAAAGCAATAGAAATAAATAATAATAATTTAATCTTTTTACTTGTTTTATAAATCCCTTTACTTTTATTGAAACCAAAATGTATATTACTATTCATGAATTCTATTAAAAGTTATACTGTCAATATACGCAAATATCGCACGTTAGTTCATACAATCATTGGCGCTGCTATCAGGCACGTAGTGAATACAAACCACCTAAGGAGGAAGCCACACAATTTACATCGCTTCATTGCGTAAAACGCGCCGTTGCCGGATTTTCAAAACTGATCATTACACTATATCACAAAGTGGCCCCGTTTTACGGTATACTTTAATATTTAATATTATTTTAAAAATAAAGCCGTTTAAGAGCAATCCAGTCCCTTCTGACGTCACACCGCACGAATATCACGACCTCCCCTTAAAGTATTTGGAACCTTGTTCGCTACATAAATTTGGCAATGTTGTGTGTCGTACGCTGAAGGGTCCGATTACAATTCAGGTAGGTATAATTCACAGAACAATTACTTTTAGAATGGAAACTGCAATGTTAAAATTTGAGACAGTTTTGTAACACCCGGTGAGCGTTCTTTGAACTACTTGGCGGAAATGGCGCCATCTCGCGGTCACTTTAGTTAATACAAAACCCTGGAACATTCAAAATGGTCCTTCAATATTTAGTTTAAAAGTGGTAGTCAAATTAAGATTTGTTCATACCAACTCCTTTTTTACGTTTATTGTAGCAATAAAATTATATTTGTTACAATAAAGCAAAAAATGAGTAGTATGAACCAATCCTAACTTGACTACAAGTTGAAATATTTTTACAAAAAATTAAAGAGCATGATCAACAAAATTAATTTATTAAAACAAAAAAAACATACAAAATAGAATAATTAAATGTAGCGTGTTAATTAGCTGGAAAGTTAAGTCATTGTCCACAGAGGTTGAAGAGTTTTATCTAAAACAAAAAATAAATATTAATCAACTTATAAATGAAGAAGGGTACAGAAAGAAAAAAGCAGCTAAGCCACATTTTTATCAAAATTGAACTTGGCCGCCCTATTTTGTAAAATACCAGTATTAGCAAATGCAAAACAATGCATTTAAAATTATGTCCAAGGACTTTCCTACTGTTTGTCATTTTCAGTATTTAGAATAAAAAATTACAACTGTCTGGTAAATTAAGTAAACAAAGTAACATCTTTTTGTAATCAATTACCTTAAAGTATCAAAAGTTTGTATTTAGTCAGTCTAAATTAAATTTGGTTTTCTGAACATTTTGGTAATTGTGATTAGGCCTCATTTTTTCCTGAACCCTTCAAATCTGTTGGGGAGCACAGAAAGTGAGGCATAAATAAAAAAAGGTATACTGACCATTACTTCCCGGAC